AGAACCAGGGTCAAACACACAAACAGATAACACACACTAGGATGGCAGGAGACAGCATGTGTCCCTACACACCTGACCCCAGCCAGGTGTCCCATGAGGAGATAGAGGCAATGGCCCCCCACCCCCAATCTGTTCAGCGGGAACCCTATCTCCGCACTACGCCCCCAGAAGTCTTTCCTAAATATACATCCTTACCTTGGAGAACACTGGAAGGTGAGCACCATCTAAACGTTTGTTTTAATAAGCCTGCACTTGCAACACTGTGGTTCCCTCCAGCCAAACACCAATACTCCCAGTGCAGGGCCATCAGGACGGTTTAGGGTGTGCGCATGTTCACCGGTTCGCTTTATGACATTCGCTACTGTAGTTATCTTCAAGTTTCTTCTGAAAGTGTCCTCAGGATAAGGACACTTATCCTGTGAAGGACAACTTCACAGCGCGCACACTAGACAGCCAGCTGTCAGGCACCTGCCTGAGATCCATCCTCAAAGATGGGGGTGGGGGAAGGTGAGGGCGAGGGCCAGGCCAAGGTCGGACAGCTAACTTGCAGGTCTGAACCGCAAGCAGGCTGCCACCGTGTCCCAGCAAACACAAGAGCACCCGTCCCCCACTTATCACCGAGACTCCAAGGGCGCCTCCGCGGTAGACGGCAGAGGACGGTTCTCGTTTTCCCCTTTGCCTTCAGCAAACATCAGAAAATCCTGCGGGCACTAAGGAAGCCGTGTCAACACCACCCAGAAGGAAGGTAGGTGGCACCACTCAAAAACCCTTCGTTAAAGCGGAGACCCGAGTCTGACCTTTCACCTCCGGCCCATCACAATGCGCTCCCCACTACCCCCAGGACGCTTCCTGGACTTCTCAGGAGGCCGGCGAGACGCCCCTCCCCGACCCGCGGGCGTGCGCGAGGCTGGGGCAGCGGGCTTTTGGTTACCGCAGAGCCGGTGTCTCCAGACCAGCGCCACGCCGGCCTCTCGCAGCCAGACTTCGCGGGAGGCCCCGGGCGGCCGCGCTAACCCGTCCCGACGACGCACCGACGGAGTCCACGCCCCGCACCGGACGCAGGCAAGGTGCAGTCTCGAACTCACGTTTGTACTCGGCCATCAGCCTCTTGAGCGCCGTCCCCGCCATCGTCCAGGCAACAGCTGCGCCGTCAGCCTAGCCTCCTCAGCGCTCTTCCCTCCCGCCCGAGCCCGGGGCCACTTCCGGGTCGCCGTGAGGATTACAGGAGCCCTTCCGGGGCGTGGGGCGCGTGCGCGGTGTGCGGGGCAGCTCCGGTGTCCGGGCTCCGAGCCAGTTTGTGCGGTCAGCTCCGCCCCGGCGGGTCCAGGTTCCAATAGGAAAGTTAGAAGATTTCGGAGCCCCGGGCTCCAGCAGAGTGTGTGTGAACCGCCTGTTCCGTCCTCGAGGCCTCTGTGGTTTCGGCGGCGGGGACGCGGACGGAGGGTGGAGACGCCGGGGAGGGCGGATGGAAGGGCGGGTGGGTAAGGCGGCTTCTCGAGGGCCGAGTGAACGGGTGTCGTTCAGATTGTTTTGGGGGTGCACCTGGGACCGTGTTGCGGCTCCTGCACCCGCACAGTGCAGAGGCGGTGACTTTCAGACGCAACTACAGTTAAAGCGAGAACATCCACTCGGAGAGCGGTTGGTGCTCAGCGGCGACTCTCGCAGGGTTTTAGGTTTGAAAAAGTTAGATTGGCGATTGTGGCCGTTTTATGCTGTCAGTCTGGGTTCAGCTTGGCCTGGAGGGGAGCTTTGGAGACCGAGGAGGGAGCAGAGCAGCAGCCAGACCCAGGGTGGATGGGCTTCCCGCACAACCGCAGCCCACCGCCCCACGCCCCGTACGCCCCAGGCAGCGGCCCCCTCGGTCTTCCCCTAGTCCTCTGCCTCCAGAAGCCAGTATCCACCCCCGCTGCTCTGACTTCTCCACTGACTAATGTGTATCGGGTCACTAGATGAGTCCTTGTTTCATTAATATTCACGGTGGTTCTACAGCTGATTGGCTGATTGATCTATCTACTCCTCTTTGTGTTTCTTAGAACCCCATTCCTAAAAGAAAAGTTTTTATCTTCACAACACTTATTCCAACGTATTCTTGTGTAGAATTTACTACATTATGCCCTGTGTAGTTTTCTAGTATAATATATATATAACTTTGATGCATGTTTGACAGGAGAGGCATCAACAAAAATTCAGCCTGACACTGTCTTCTCAAATGACCACGGTGATTTATATAAAAACACTGTACTTTTAAACAGTTCCAAAAAGTAATGGGTTTGCACAAATAGTCCTAAGGTTTCCATCTCCCATTCAAGTAGTTACCTTCTCTGTGATCCAGCTACACCCCATCCCCTCATGCAGGTCAGGGGTCAGAGGGCGATTAAAGAACAATTCTACTTGGAAGGGAACAGAAGTGCAGGTGATGAGAAGTACTATCATAAACATGAGGCTCAGACAACAGCACCCATTAAGATGCTGGGGGTTTTCTGAACTGCATCCATGTCTGTCACTTGCTGTCTTTCTGAGGTCATTGTGTTGTAGCAGTTTGTGTTCACAGTTTGTACCAGGATTAGTTTCAAGTGACAAAAACCCAAAATATGAGGTGCTAACATAATGGAAGTCTCTCACCTCGCTGTGGCTGGTGGGACAGGCTCACCTTCAGGGATACTTACGCTCCCCTCCACGCATCCTCGCTGAGATTCAAGTGAGACTAGGCATCCCGTGTTTGATTTGCTAAATCTGGCAATGCTCAGCTCAGGTCAGCTGGTCCTGGTGTCCCAAGGGTTCCGAGCACCTGGTGTGTGATACTTAAAGGCTGTCACCCACTGGACAGGCCGGCAAGTTTGGAATGAACTGGTTTCTTTGAGAATTGAAGTTCTGAGGTATAAAAAGGGTCTGCTTTTTGCAGATTCTTTCCATGAAAGCTGTGTCATGGAGCAGCTGAGATTAACAGGTACGCTCCCACCTGTGCTGTGCAATGCAGCCAGGCCGGCACCACCCGTGTGCCTGGGGCCAAGGGGTCCTGGGATGTGGGGTTTGGGTACTGAAACTGGGAAAGTGCCAGCTGGGACTCAGGGCACCCATAATACAACCAGTAAAGACGAGCCTGTCTGCTACTGAAGCGTCAGTTTAACCCAGTGATTTTAGGAGCTGGTTTCACATAACAATATTTTAATATATCAGCAGATCTGTTATTCCAAATGCACCTCCAGGACACTGCCTGCTTGTCCATCAGATGCTGGGGTCAGGCTCAGACAACACTGCACTAGGGCTCCCCAGAAACTGCAGTGCTCCTGAGCTCAGGCACCCTGACATGTCACCCTCCCCACGAGTGCAGGGCGTGCCTTCCTGGGCCCTACACTCCCCCACACCTTCTCTGGGCCACGCCTCTGCCTGCTGCTGCCACCTAAGCAAGTCATGTGCTCGCTGCCCCTGAGCTTTCAGCCTGTGCCCACCTCACCAATCAACCTGATACAGTATCACAGTGCAACATGCAGAAGTTTCCAAAACAGTGTCAACTCACTTCCATTCAAAACAGATGAGGGAATAAGTTGTCAGCTGCACTGCACAAAGGAAAACAGTCTCACATTCAAACACCAAAAATATCAAGAAGCCCAGAGTCATGGTAACCCTCCCCCCAGGAGCCCAGGAGAGGGAGGAGAGCTCTGCGGGGGAGGGGGCAGCCTTGGCAGGTGAGCCGGCCTTCAGATGGAAGTCGCAGTGGTCTTGCTGAAGGGTCACTGCAAATACCGAACGTGACACAATGTCCAGTCTCCAAACGCAGTATAGAGTATGAGCTAAGAGACAGAATACCAAACTATATTTACTGTTGACAGTAGTAAAGGACAACAAATAATGTACAAATTGGGGAATAAACACAAAAGAGCCGCAGACACCCCGCCTGTGCCCGAACAGCAAGGTACAGGGGAAGTGCAGGCTTCTCCAGCGAGGTCTCAGGCGAGCAGGAGATGATGGTGGTTGTCCTGCCCAGGTGACCCGAACAGGCAGCCAGGGACCATCAGACAGGAGTGAATCCGCACGGAAGGGCAACAGGACAACCATCGAAGGTTAACCAAAACAGACCCCAAAACGCACAGAACTGAAATCACACATAACGTGTAAGCTCCATACCAACTTGGGGAGCAGAGCACAGTCCTCGGGGAGAACCCGGAGGCATCTCTCACTTGTAGCCACACTTTGAAGCAGCTCTTTTACACAAAAACATAACAGCAAAATCAGCAGTATTCTATCTTCCTTGTTTACATACAGACCATTGTTACTCATCAGAAGCAAATACTGGAGGAAATCTGAGGCCCTGGCACCGTGACCACAGCAGACGTGTGGGACTTACTTTCTTCTCTGTTAAGAAAAGGGGAAAAGCCCATTTGTGTGTCCGAGCAGTGTCACCGGCAGTTGGTGGCAATGGGTCCGGGGCCCCAGACCCCACCCAGGGCCGTGTTACTGAAGAACTTCTTACCTTTTAAGAAACATTCCAGTATTTTCCCTTCAACTTAACTATATTCTGGCAAAGCTTACATTTCTAATATTTAGCATTAAAAAAACCTGTGCCCGCAAGAAACAGTAAGTGAAAGTGTATCTCCCATACCAACCATGACCCAAAAACTCGCCCCACAGAAGCACTCCCAGAGTAGTGACAGTTCTCTCCATGACTGGAAGGAGGGGGGTCAACACCTGGAGTGAGAGCCCCGTCTAGACAGAAAGCAGGCATTCAGGCCACAAGCTTGGAGAAAATGTCATAGGAGGGAGAAAAAACGAAAAAGTAAAAACAAAGCCCAAGTCCCTCACCACGCATTTTACCCAAACACAGGTACCAGGTGGTGGGCCTAGGGAGGCTGGGGACCATCACCACAGTGGCACTCAAGTGCATCAGAGCAAAGTCCTTCTGGGGAATGTCCTCGGTGTCCGAGCCTCCCTGCTGATGGGCTTGGCCACACGTCCACTGTTCAATAGCAAACACAGCACGGTGCCACGAGGGGCTGGGGGCTCTAGAGGCCGCTCCCCAAGAGGCAGCTGGCCACCCTGGAGCCCCCCGTCTGCTGCTGGAACACGTCGATGGTGTCCTCGTCTTCCATCTCCAGCTGCAGGCACAGAAGGCATATCAGTGTCTTCTCATCCTGGGGGGGGGGCCCACCCCCACGCACCTGAGCCATGAGCCTGCCCCTAAGTGGGCACATGAGGACAGAGGCTCAGCTATGGGTTTCCAGTTAGCCCACTTCTTCCCCAAGTTCTCCTAACAGAATCCACAAAGCTAGAACCTTGACTGACAGAGAAACTAAGTCCTGTTAAAAACAAAGTGTCTCAAGTTTTACTGAGAAGCATACAAAATCAGATTTCAGCTAGGAGAGAATGACCAGAAGCGCTGAGTCCTGGGGACCTCAGAGGTGGGGGTGGAGTTCACACGGGTGCTGCCAAAGCCAACTCCATCCCAAAAGAAGGGGTCCCTGCTGGCCTCCCCATCCCGTCAAGTAGCATCCTGCTCAGAAATCAAGAGCAGTACCCCTGAGGGGGAGGTGGGAGGGCAGGGGGAGGACTCCTGTTGCAGACATGACACAGCGTGAGCATCGGCGGAGAGGCTGGGGGAGCCCACGGCTGCCCCCTCCCTCTGTGTAAGTGGCATGCAGTTCCCCACGGAAGCAAAGATGAAACCTCTACAGAGCAGCCCTTTCACACTAAAGGCTGGCTCATTCTCCCCACGCTCGACCCCACAGTCGTCCGGCTGACAAGAGCCAGGAGTGCAGCCTGGACCCCAGGCTCTCCTTCCACGAGTGATGCGCAGACCTGATAGAGCTGCACGTGGTGGCAGATGCTGGAGGAAACGGAGCATGCTGCACCCTCTCCGCCCATGCCCCTTCATCAGTGCTCAGAGGGCAGGAGATGGAGGCAGGAATGTAGCCGCAGACTAACGCTGCGGGTCCAGTGTCCCGACAACACGCGGTGGCGATCCTATCTGCCCAGCTCACCTAGAGCAGGGGTGGAGGTCAGGTCAGGGGGTGAGGATGCTTGGCCTCGGCCATGACCCTGGACCACCTCAGCTGAGAACCAGCCCTCCTGCTCCTTCTCCCAACACAGATGAGGCTGACAAAGTACATTTTTCTCATTTGAAAACTGAACCTCAAAATTACAAAATCTAATAATCTAAGCCATTAAGAAAATGTAAGGTGAATTCACTGGCCATCCAGTGGTTAGGACTCTGCGCTTCCACTGCAGGGGGGTGAGTTCAATCCCTAGTCAGGAACTACCTATCACAAGCCATGCAGCAAAGCTCCAAAAAGAAAAAAAAAAGAAAGTAGAAAATGTATGGTGTTCTATATGAGCAGCAATCAGTAACTCTCAAATGTGAGCATTCCTGATGGCAGTTACACATGAAGGTCAGAAGTAGCCCTTGAGTGTAGACCTGCTGGGTTCCTACCTGTGCTGGGGTGTCTGTTTCATTAATTGGTTGTCCATCAAACCTGAATCGAATCTGTCTCATTGACAAGCCCTGAAAAGAAAAGCAGTTATCACTGTGTAAGTATTTCCCGCTAACACATCAGTTCAAAAAGAATCACACATTCATCAAAACACCAGACTTCTGAATACACAGATTTATGACCCAGTTGACTACAGTCTCACCAGTAGGCCTGAAGCTCTGAGGCAGCTAGAAAACAACAGAGAGTTCCCCCAGGGAAATGGGAGCCACAGAACACAGTAAAAAACAAGGACTCTTGAAAATCAGAAATCATGAAAGACACAAGATCACCCATAAAAAGTGGGAACAGAAAGTCGAGAAAACCTCCCAGAAAGCAGACCAAAGCAACAAACCCCATGCAGTCAGAGGAAATGATCCAGATGAACACACCTGGCACAGGTGACTAAATCAGATGGAATCCCACTGGAGAGGGACACAAATTGTCACTGAACTGACAGAAGGTCCAGTTCCTGAACTGAACCGAGTTTCTAGGCCAAAAAGGCCAAGAACGTGCCCAGAAAAGTCTAAGACAAACCTGCCTACCTCAAAGCCCAGGAATAAAGTCCCGAAAGCTATCAGAGATAAACCACCTTACAACAAAAGACCGAGAATCAGAGCGTCACTGAACTTCTCACGCAAACGGGGGAACCTAGAAGAATGTGATACAGCAACTCCGGAAAAGGAAAATGAATATCAACCTAGAAATTTATGTGCAGTCACATTACTCAAGTGTGAAGGTTTATAAAGCAAATCAGGTTCAGAGAAGCAGTACTCTTCTTATGCTTTCTGAGCAAGATACTGGAAGACATGCTTTATCAAGACAGGGGAAGAAGATTAGTCCAGAAAGATTAGTCCAGGAGGGGGGCCGAGGTCGTGGGCAGGATTTCTGGGATGCTCTGGGATGACTGCAGAGCAGCAGCCCAGGCGGGGCAGGAGGGAGGAGGCCCAGGTGGGAGATAGTGCAGCACGGCAGGAAATGCAGGGCAAATAGTCATGATGGGACACCCCGAAATCAACACACACAGCCACCACCAGACCAAGAACAGGACTCAGACAAGAGCCAACAATAAGCACAGGCTGCTGTGTGGCTGGGGCGGCTGCCTGGTCACAAAAGCAGCAGATTCCAGTGCAGGCTGGGTGCAGGGAGGGGGCTGTGTGTGGGGGCAGGGGCTGGCTATGTGGACCACAGGTCACAGAAGTCCCACCTTTCACAGGTGAAAATAGTCTCCAAAATCCAAAATTTCTCCACGAAACAGAAGCACAAGTATATTTACCAAGAAAAAGTGGAAGAAAAAAAAAAAAAAGCTGGAATTGACAGTGACCTCCTCTGAGGAATAAAGCCTGAAAAGAGGGGAGAAAGAGGAAGGCATGGAGGTTTTTTTTGGGCGTTTTTAATAGTAACAGCAAACAGGCCACGGCAAAGGGTTATCAAAGCCAAGAGTGGAAACTAAGGTCAAGGATTTCCGCATCCCCCACAGAGGACTGGCTCCTGTGCAGAGCACCAGGGGCCCCAGGGCATAGTCTGACACGGACACTCAGGGCGTCAGCGTCTCTGATCACCATGGGAAGGCGCCAGTGAGGCAGCTCTTTGTCTTGTAAAGCAGTAAATAAAGGGAAATGATGCTTTTGAACTGTGGTGTTGGAGAAGACTCTTGAGACTCCCTTGGACTGCAAGGAGATCCAACCAGTCCATTCTAAAGGAGATCAGTCCTGGGTGTTCATTGGAAGGACTGATGTTGAATCTGAAGCTCCTGATGCGAAGAGCTGACTCATTTGAAAAGACCCTGATGCTGGGAAAGATTGAAGGTGGGAGAAGGGGATGACAGAGGATGAGATAGTTGGATGGCATCACCAACTCAATGGACATGGGTTTGGGTAGACTCCGGGAGTTGGTGATGGACAGGGAGGCCTGGCGTGCTGCGGTTCATGGGGTCTCAAAGAGTCAGACACGACTCAGTGACTGAACTGAACTGATTAAGTCTGTCTGGAGCAAACTGTGCCAGGGCAGTGTCTCCAGACACAGAGGAGAAGGGATGGAATCCGTGAGAACCCACCGCTCAGATTCCAACAGTGCCAGACACCTGCCTCGCCCGGGGAAGCCCGGCCAGCCTGCACGGACACGAGCACACACACAGGCCCCTGCACACACATTCCACCGCCCCTCCCCACACCTGGCGCTCGCAGTAGGCCTTCATCAGCTTGCTGAGCGGCGTATGTCTCTTGATCTTGAACTGGACCACGGAGCCGTCCTGCCCGGCCACCTTCAGGTTGATGTGGTCGTTCTCCGTCTTCACTCCCTCCTGCAAAGACATGTGGATCTGGGTCTCCACCTGTCGCCCCACAACCACCACTGCTTCTTAAACGTCCCCAGCAATTCAGTCACTGGTGTGTCTGTCGTATTCCTATACAGAACTGACTTATAACTTCTGCTTGCTGAGTCAGGCAAATGCCCTGCCAACCTAGTGTTTGTCACAAACGTCAGCTTAAGGGGAAAAAAATCTGCGTAACACCAGAAAACAACAGAGAGAAGATCCGCCTTTGTTTTAAGGTTGCTCTTAAGAGTGGAGCACACGGGACTTATACTCAAATGTGAGGGTGAATAAGACACCAGAGACGTTTCTGGCCAGAACAGCAGGCTGCGCAGTGGCTCAGGGTCCAGGCTGCCCGAAGCTTCCCTGCTTGCCTCCCAGGGGGGCCACCTCAAGTGCGTCCTGGGTCGCCAGTCCGAGCCGAATGGGGTCACCGCCCTATCCTATTCTGACATGACCCATGGGACGCTCCAAGCTGCTGAGCATCAGCAAGGTCTCTGGTCCTTGGAAATTACTGGAAGTTGATGCAAGAAGCTGGTGTTCCGAGCAGAGCTCAGCCCAAGAGCAAGCTGCTGGGGAAAAGAGGAGTCTCTGCTTTTTCACAAAATGATGAAGCTGACCTAAGTCAATTTGCATAGTCTGGATGGAGACCAAAGCGAGTCTGTGTGCTGTCCTAGCCAAGTTCTCCTCTTCCTGGGGCTCTCCTTCCCCACCGCTCCCCCTTCCAAGCCCTGGGAACTGCTCCCCACCACATGGAGGGGAGAGGAAAGGAGGCCCCTGGAGATCAGAGTAGGGGAACTCGGAATGGCTCTGAGAAGTGGTCCCAGGAGGCAAGATTCTAGCAATGAGCCCCCATCTGATGAAACTGGGGAGTCCTACGATCAGCACCTCACCACTCCCCAGAGACCAAGAATGCGTTTGCTTTTTCATCTTTTCAAATAAAGGTTTTATTTTTAAATAATCCTACATTTCCAAAAAAGTTGCCATACAGAGGCAGAGCACTCCTACATGCCCCACTGGGTCTCCCTGGTGTTAACATCTCACACGCTGCAGTATGTGTCCTGCCCAAGAATACAACACCAGCACACCGCTAGCAACAAAACTGCAAGCTTTTTTGTATTTCACCAGTTTTTCCACTAATACCATTTTTCTGTTCCAGAATCCAATCCAGGATACCTCCTTGCATTTACAGATAAGATTTCCTCTCCATTTATTCTTTTACTTCTTTGCTGTTCATTGTGTTAAAATACACATAAAATTTACCATCTCAGCCATTTTTAAGTGTACAGTTTCTAGTATAAAATACAACCACTGCCACCATCCATCTCTACAACTCTTTTCATCTTGTAAAACTAAACTCTGTCCCCATGAAACCGTCACTCGTCCTCCCCCAGCCACTGGCAACCACCATTCTTCCGTCTCCATGAATCTGACTCCTCTACAGACCTCCTGTAAGTGGATTCACAGTATCTGTCCTCTTGTGACTGGCTTACATCAAGCAGCATAATGATGTCTTCCAGGTTCATCCCTGATGTAGCAAGGGTCAGGATTTCCTTCCTTTTTAAGCCTGAGTAATACTGCTGTACACATAGACCAGGCCTGCCTGGTGGCTCAGGTGGTAAAGAATCTGCCTGCAATGCAGGAGACCTGGGTTAGATTCCTGGGTCAGGAAGATCCCCTGGAGAAGGAAATGGCTCCCACTCCAATTATTCTTGCCTGGAGAATTCCATGGACAAGGAGCCTGGCGGACTATAGTCCGTGGGGTTGCAGAGCTGGACATCACTGAGTGACTAACACTTTCACCCAGCAGTAGAGTTGCTGGAGCATATGGAAATTCTGCTTTTAATTCTTTGACAAACTTCCATTCTCTCTTCCATGGCAGCTGCATCATTTTGCATTCCCACCAACGATTCCAACTTCTCCACATCCTCTCCAGCACTTGCTGTTTTCTGTTCTGATTTTTTAAAGTGGCCATCCTAATGGGTGTCAGGCAGTATCTCGCTGTAGTTCTATCTGCATTCCCCTGATGATCAGTGATGTCAAGCATCATTCCATGAGCTTCTTGCCTATTCATATGTCTTCTCTGGAGAAATGTCTATTCATGTTTTTTTGCTCATTTTTTAATCAGGTCACTTATTTTCTTGTTGAGCTTTAGGAGTTCTCTAAACCCCGATGTTCATCTCAACCCCGATGAAATCTGACCTGTGCCCACGTCCTTTCCTGACGAAGCATCCAGGATAGCTGCTCAAAACCCGAGACGCCTGTGGAACCCTGACCCTGAAACAACGCATGACAGCCACCCCTTCAGGACACACATTTCCTTCTGTGTCAGAGTTCAACCTCGTGGTTCTTGCCTTTGAAGCCCCTGATTCTTTCTCTTACCCAGAAAGCCCTTTGTTTTACCCAAATCTGTGTCTCCCAAATCACAATTCTTAACACCCCAAATTACTTTCTTTTTTTTTCCCATTTATTTTTATTAGTTGGAGGCTAATTACTTTATAATATTGTAGTGGTTTTTGTCATACATTGACATGAATAAGCCATGGATTTACATGTATTCCCCATCCCGATCCCCCCTCCCACCCCAAATTACCTTCTTATTTGCAGCCTTCAGTGGGGTTTTTTGGGTTGATAGTGATTTGAAGATATCATCTCCCCTTTCTGTGGTTGCCTTTTTACCCTGTTCACAGTGTCTTTTGATGTACAAAATTTTTTAATTTTCATAAATTGTTTTTTTTCCCACGACACCTGTGTCTTTGGTGTCATAATCAAGAAATCACCACCAAGTCCAATGTGGTGGAGTTTTTGTCCTATGCTTTCTCCTAAAAGTTGTATTAATTCTTACATTTAGGTCTTTGATGCATCTTAACTTTCAGATCTAGTGTTGAGAAGGGTCCAACTTCATTCTTTTGCACATAGACAGATGATGCATTTACTTTATTAATGAAAAAATATGGGTGTGTTTAAAACAGAGAGATGCAGGGGCCAGAACACAAAGAGGGTGGTGGCTACAGACCAGGCAGAGGAAGGTCAGACCCGGGGTGAATCCCTAATAATCAAAACTTGGAAAAAAGGAAAGGGAAGGATGAAACCCTAAAAACCAGAGCAGGGTTCACCCGGTCAGTCCCCTACCTGGACTCTCCAGGGGAGGCAAACTGTCTTCCCAACTGGTCCACAAGGTTTTCTTTGCACCAAGATGGCCTGGGGGTGTACCTCCTACCCCTCCCCTCCAGGCCCGAAGGAGAGAGAATACTCTGAGCCAGAGCAGCCCGGCAGGAACCGAGGCCTTCGAAGACAAAGGGTGGGGCTTGAGGCACAACCAGCTCGCTGTCTTGGAAGTAGTTAAAACAAGTTAATTCTACTGAACTAGACCTTGGACATTGAACACACGGGAGTGTTAAGCTTAAGCGCACCGAAGGGATGAGTACTGAGCGTATTTCACTGTATCTCACTGCATTTAAACTCAAGATGAGGAGACCACCTAGAGGTCATAAAGAAAGGCAGTGACATCTGCTCACACCCCCACCGGAAAAGCAAAGGCAGCTCCTAGGAGGCTCCAGGGCGTTAAGGGCCGCGTCCACCGGGGCCCCACCGTGGGATCCCGTCCAGGGGCTCCGTGCAGGCGCACCCATCCCGGTTCCGCCTCCCGTACGCACTGGGGTGCGACCTCCAAGCAGCAGCAGCGGGGTAAGAGAGGCTGCGCACAGAGCAAGAGAGCAGACGAAAAGCTCCAGAAACCCGTTTCCAAGACAAGTTTTCAGGGCCGCGGACCTTCGCGAGGACTGCCGGCCAGGGCACCAGACTGCGGAGCGCACACCGGGGAGCCCAGTGGGCAGAGCGTGGCGCACACCAGGCAGCTGCGACGCGGGATGGGCGCACACCCAGGGGGCCGCAGAGGATCCCCTGCCCGGCCTGCGCCCTCTGGGCGCTCCGCAGCGAGGACTGAGGAGGGGACCCCGCGCACGCGGGGCAGTAGAGCCCAGGCCGGCCGGTCCCCGTGAGGGGCATAGTTAGGGAGGGTCCCGGCGAGGGAAGAGGTCCTGGGGAGGGGCGGTCCCAGAGAGGGTTTGGGGACGCGGGTGACGTCGGCGGAGGGAGAGGGTTCAGACTAGAAGGGCCAGCTTTCCCAGACTCGACCCAACCCCGCGGGGCTCCCCGCAGGGCGGGCCCGCTGAAGCCGGAGGGGTGGAGCTCAAACAGTGGAAGCGGGACCTGGGCGGAGTCGGAGCGCGAGGGCGGGGTCTGGGTATGGGCGGGGCCTGGACTGGGCGGGGTCGGAGTGCGAGGGCGGGGTCTGGATAGGGGCGGGGCCCGAGGGAGTGGTCTGTGTAGGGGCGGGGCCTGGAAGGAGGGCGGGGCGCGACAACTGGCGGGGGGAGGGGAACCGAGCGGAGCAGGGCGGCGTGGGGGAGGGGTGGAGGGAGAAGCGGGGAGGGGAGGCCCAGCGGCGCGGCTAGACACGGGTCCCAACGGCCGGCGGCGGAGGGCGGCGGGGCCCGGGGCGCGGGCGCGGGGGCGGCGCGGGCATGGGGGCTGAGTCCGGCCCGGCCCGCACCCTCCGGCCCTTACCTTGGGTTTCTCCTCGGACATGGCTGCGCTCGGAGGGCAGCGGGACAGCAGGCAGCCCCGGGCGAGCGACTCACGCTCTCGGCCCGCCGCTCTCCCGCCGCAACTGCTCGCGGGGCCGCGCTTTGCCCCCAAATCCCTGCGCGCAGGTTGGCCGGCGCGGGTCACGTGGCTGTCGCGCGTGCACGAGGCGCGCTCCCGGACGTCGGGCGCGTGCCCGGTCGGTCAGGGTTCCTGGCTGTTGGAAATGCGTCACCGGGCGGGCCCTGCGCGGTCAGGCGTCTGGCCTTCGGGGGTGGTCCGGGCAGCAAGGCCTGGGGCCGCGGAGGGGTGGGGGCGCGCTGCGACTCGGGGAGCGCACAGAGCAGCTAGGATCGAGGTCAGGGACGGTGCATAGGGCAGCTGGGGTAGCAAGGGGTAAGCTGTGGGGCAGGGGGCTCTGAGACGCAGAGGTGCCCCGGGCAGCGAGGGCCCGGGGGGCCGCTGGAAGGCGCGCGGGGACCCCCAAGGGTGCCCAGAGATCCAAGCCATGAGGCCTGACACCTGATCTTGGAGCCTGAGAATGGCCTGTCCGAACTGGCTCCTCACCGCAGCTCCACCAGCCAAGCCCCATTGCACTCACTGGCTCCTATATAGTGGGTGCGTTTCTCAGAGGGAAGCAAGGAAAAATAAAGCTAGCCAGGCGAACCACCTCCACAGGGGCCCCAGGAGACCTGAGTGAAAGAGCTGCTCTGGAGGGGACCCCCGATACTAGGAAAGGCCAGCTAACCCCCACTGAGGAGCCGAAGGTCAGGTCATGAGGAAGTGGGAGTGAGGAAGAATGCCTCCCAGGCCGACCCACCTGGCATCTCCGTCCACAAAGGACGCATGGTGTGTTCATTTAGCAAGGCCACGCAGGCTCCAAAGTCCGCTGCCTGCACCCTGAGCTCCCGGTGAACAGAGGCATCAAGGGGCCTTTCTAAGAGGGCCTCGGGGTGGTGGAAAGTCTCTAGTTCCATCCACTTTTCAATCTGTGCTCCCTGACTGTGTGTGGCTCCTTCCTTCTCCCCTTGCCCAGCCCCCTTCAGGGTCCTTCTGAGCCTGGCGAGTGGAAGCTGAGCGCCTGGGGAGACAGTGATCTAGCCCATTGGGTTCAGCTCATTTCCTGTCAATATTGAAAGGCCATAAAGTCAAGTTTTCATGGACCTTCATTTAACCGTTTTTGACTCTTATTAAAAATTCACTTCCTGGGACTTCCCTGGTGGTCCAGTAGTCAAGAAACTGCCTTGCAATGCAGGCAATGCTGATTCCCTGGTTGGGGAAACTTAAGATCCTACTGGACTTGAGCCCACATGAGCTGCCACGAAAGCTCCTGAGTGATGCAAAGAAGATGTGCCACAACTAAGACCTGATGCAGCCAAAATAATTTTTTTTAGTTATTTAAGAAAACACTGACAAAACATTGTCAAAATCAACTTAAAAAAAAAATTCACTTTTGTGGCTAGAGGCACCATTTAGGAGAGGGGGAAAGAGCGCCCCAGAAAGGAGCTGCCACATCACAGACTGACAGTCTCTCAGTTGAAAGGTGTGGTCAGACCGGAACTCCATCTCAGCTAGGTCCAAAAGTTTGGTCCCTGTCTTCCTGGAATGTGGCTGGTGGTGTCTGTTCCAGAAGATCTTGGCACAGTGGCCAGCTCAAGGGGTGCTTCCTGGAGAAGGGAGTCTCTGGAGCTGGCCCCTTCCAGGACAGAGGTGGACAACTGGGACCAGAATCACCCCCTGCCCCCAACGACTGGCTGTGGTGTAGCTTCAGATAGGCAATGTTCAGACCCATCACCCATCAGTGACTCTAAGACACCAGCAGCTATAAAATATGACATTGTTTTATTTAACACAGACACATTAAACTATGCAGGTTACATGTTAGAATTGATGAAATACAGTATCTAAATGTGTTACAAAAGGAATTACACTATGGTTCATTCATATAATGAACAGCTATGCCACTATTAAATGTGTTAAAAAAAAGTTGATAACAGGAAAAGATGTTCATATGTTGATGACTTTTTTATGAAGCAAATTATAAAACTATTATGGTTTTGAACAACCAGAAAATTTGTACAAAATATTTTGAAAATCTGAAGATACCAGATAGCTGCCAAAACAGAAAAGACTTTTTTTGAGGGGCGAAGATCCTGGGAAGACAGGAAGTGGTTTTCCTTTTCAGGTATTTGATGATTAGTATGATGGGGTTGCAAACAGTCAGACACAACTGAAGCAATTTAGCTTGCATGCACACACAATGTATCAGCTTCCCAGGTGGCGCCAGTGGTAAACGCCCTGCCCATGCATGAAACAAGTGATGGGTTGGGAAAGATGCCCTGGATTAGGAAATGGCAACACACTCTAGTACTCTTACCTGAAAAATTCCACGGACAGAGGAACCCGATGGGCTCAAGTCGGTGAAATTACAAAGGGTCGGACATGACTGAGTGACTGAGCAGTATTTATATATTCTTACTATATTACATACTCTATTCTAGTTTCTCATTTTAGAGCCAGTATAATTTCCTTTGCTTTAATCTTTGCTCTACTGCTTTTACTAACCAGGTAACCTTGGATGCAAAACTTGTGCCTCAACTTCCCTGTGAAATGGCTCAATAATGGTACCTACCTTATTCCGTTAATCTGTATGAAGGTAGCAGAGTGCAAGTCATGTAAGTGCTACGTAAATACCTTGTTATTTTCTACTGTTTCCTTTTACCTGTTTTTATGACTATGTTAATTGGTTTTGTTGATGCATTGTTCTTGCAGTGGTTTGAAAGTTATTTCTCATTTTCTTGGGAAAATCCACTCCCTCTGCTTCTATTTTATTCAAACCTAACTTCCAGTTCAGAATCATCCCTTCCACTGTGTCTAATCTGTTCTTAAACTCGTCTAGTTTCAACAATTGCATTTTTGTTTACAAATATTTATTTTTCTATAGATTTCACTTATCAGCTGAAGAGTTCCATCTCATAAACTATTTCCTTGAACATATTATTTAAAGTTATTTTATGACTAGGGCCACCTGGGAAGCCCCCAAATACCTCTAGATGTGTTTAAAAGTGGTAACAATCCCCTCTCACAGGTGGGAGTGGGACTGGGGCTCTAGGGGCTGGAGGGGAAAGGAAGGGACTTTTCTCTGCAATACGGTTTTCTACCTTTTCTATTTTATATGTATGCAAAAAAGTAAAAATAAAAAATAAACTTAGAAAAAAAAATAAAGTTATTTTTAAATCTATCTAATAATGCCAGTGGATTTATTATTAGTATATATATATTTCTTTCCCCTTGGTTTTGATCATTTGATTTTTGGTTTTCTCCATGAACTTTCTATTCTGAATATTGTATATGAAGATATTTTAGTGAATTTGAGGCCCTAAGTGATGGTGTTTTGTTAATGGCTACTGAGCTGCTACATCATGTGCTGTGTGTGTGCTTGGATGCTCAGACATGTCTGACTCTTTAAGGCTCCTTGGACTGTAGCCCACCAGGCTCCTCTGTCCATGGGGATCCTCCAGGCAAGAATACTGGAGTGGGTTGTTATTTCCTACTCTAGGAGATCTTCCCCAACCCAAGGATTGAACTCATATCTCTTGTGTCTCCTGCATTGACAGGCAGTTTCTTTACCACTAGCGTTGCCTGAGAAGCCCAAGAATAAATAAATACCAGTAATATACTAGATATTAGTGGATTAAGTTGTTCCATTTAAAAACAGTCACTTCCTAAATGGGTCAACAAAGTACAACTATGTTTGTAAAAGATACAACTGAAGAATAAAAGAAAGGGTAAAAATAAAAGGCAAATTCGCTATAGCTTATAACAATTTTTATATCAGATAAAATGCATTTCAAGCCACAAAGCATTAAATGGACAATGAGAGATACATTCAGTTCAGTTCAGTTGCTCAGCTGTGTCTGACTCTTTGTGACCCCATGGACTGCAGCCTGCCAGGCTTCCCTCTCCACCACTGTCTCCTGGAACTTGCTCGAACTCATATCCATTGAGTCAATGATGCCATCCAACCATTTCGTCCTCTGTTTTCCTCTTCTTCTCCTGCCTTCAGTCTTTCCCAGCATCAGGGTCTTTTCCAATGAGTCAGTTCTTTGCATCAGGTGGCCAAAGTATTGGAGCTTCAACGTCAGCATCAAGAGAGATACATTATCAATACATTAGTAACAGGTCCATTCCACCAAGAAGCAAGTAGGAAAATGCAAATAGGAGTCTGACTCTGTTTTTTTTGTTTTTTGTTTGCTTGTTTTAGGCTATTCACTTTATTGACCAGAAGATCATCACAAAGAAAAAATTGGCATCCCTTTTCATCCATTAATATTTTTAATTTTTATTTTATTTTATTTTTATTGGAGTATAGTTGATTTACAATGTTGTATTAGTTTCAGGTGTAAAGCAACTTGATTCAGTTTTACATATCCATATATGCATTCTTTTTCAATTCTTTCCCCATATAGGTTATTACAGAGTGCTGAGTAGAGTTCCCTGTGTGCTGTAGTAGGCTGTTGTTATCTATTTTATTATTTTTAAATTTTTATTTATTATTGAAGTGTAATTCAGTTCAGTTCAGTTCAGTTGCTCAGTCGTGTCTGACTCTTTGCGACCCCATGTACTGCAGCATGCCAGGCCTCCCTGTCCATCACCAGCTCCCAGAGTTTACCCAAACTCATATCCATTGAGTCAGTGATGACATCCAACCATCTCATCTTCTGTCTTCCCCTTCTCCTCCTGCCCTCAATCCTTCCCAGCATCAAGGTCTTTTCCAGTGAGTCAGCCCTTCACATCAGATGGCAAAGGTATTGGAGCTTCAGCTTCAACATCAGTCCTTCCAGTGAACACCCAGAACTGATCTCCTTTAGGATGGACTGGTTAGATCTCCTTGCAGTCCAAGGGACTCTCAAGAGTCTTCTCTAACACCACAGTTTAAAAGCATCAATTCTTCATCACTCAGCTTTCTTTATAGTCCAACTCTCACATCCATACATGACTAC